CGAGACTGTCTAATCCACGTAGTCAAAAGTAGGCTTCATTTAGCTGCTGTAAATGTTTTCGTAAGCATATAGGAGAGATTCTCAGGATTTTATCGACTTTGATCTCAGTCGCAATTGCTGACTTCACGCACGATGAGAACCAAATGGTGCCCTTATTCCTGGAATTCCTCATTCTCGCAATAATTTAAGCGTTTCCTTTTCTATTATTCTCTCTGATATTACGATGCACGTACGTACTTCGCCTGTGCAGAGTACGAGGAATTTCAGTTAAGATTTTTGAAATCCATTACATGCATGAAAAAGAGTGGGATTCATATCTCGTATTTGAGAACACTGGGGTCGGACTCAATAGCCAAAGGATGGCGCTACTGTACATCGTCGTAATAGGAAAAAAAAAGTTAAAAGGTGATGAGGACAATTGAAAGATCATGTTATCTACTCTCATTTAAATATTAGAAAGATGAGAAGATAGGAAACATTACATTACTCACCTTGGAAGGTTTGTTCTCCCAATCAGTCGGAGGTATTTGTTTTATAATTGCTTTGAAACTTAGCCGCTGCAGGACGGTCATCCTATAGTTTAATTCCGGATTTTTACTCAGCATTCCAAAGTGCTAAATTTACTCATACTATGTAGTTTTTTATTCAGAATTTTATAAAGAAATCAGAGAAACATACTGTATGTCCAAACTGAATGAATTGGTTCTTCATTGCGACTGAGTTGTCGTTACCTGATACAAAATAAAGTTTCGGATTTTCTTTGAGAGCACCATATTAGTGACTTTCTATACGTGATTTATTCCACTATCCATAGATAAACCATGATAGAAAACGGTGCCAGACCGGGATTTCGTGTAAAGAATGAGGAAGATCGTTCTTTATGTCCATACCGTTACGAGAAAGGCAAGATATTTCCAGGGAAACCTCGGCAGTAAGATTTCCATGGCAAAAAAGCAGTACATTTCATTCGAATCAACACATTGGAATATCATTCAAAAAGGTCACTTTACTACTTCAAGGGCGAAGGTTCAGGTTTTTTTTTTAGAGGTATCAAGAGGCGATTAGATAAATTTGAATATCTCATGTCGAGGTCGAGCGTTTCCTAATTTTAGGGTAGCCGACACTCTTAGAAAATTCCGAGCGTTTGGGGAGTAAAAAGTTAGCACACCGTAAGCTTTTCGAATTTACCCTCTTATTACTCACCAAATGCTCCCTCGGCTCAGGTCCAGACAGGAATTCTTCACTTGCAGAGTGGTGAACGCGTGGAATGCGTTAGACGACGACTTGGTGGCTGCCCCTTCCGTGACTATTTTAAAGAGGAAACTAGATAATCATTGGAAAGCGAATTAAATGAACTTTCATTTCATTTTTGTTAAATTATTCTAGCTCAATTTGGGACCGAGATATAAGGTTTCAAAGTAGAGGACCGGTTTTTTTTGACCCACCCTGTAGTTCTATTTGTTTCAATCAAACGGAGACACATGGGAAGCTGTAACATAGCAAGAACGTGACTGATGAAGCACTGAGCTCATATTTCAAATGTCTAATTTCCAAAATATTTTTTGGGGGATTTTTCTTGGGGATCTTACGTTTTCAAAGAATTTATCATATCCTAGCGAATCGGGCAAAAATTTAGTTTTAGGGTGGGTCGCTTTTCCATCTACATTTTTTACCGCCAGGAAAAAGGGGAAACGTATAAGACTGAAACTGGGTGGCATGGAGTTCCCTGAGTCTAAATTTAAGAAAAAATAACATTTTCGTTAAAACCCATCAGGGCACTTTTTCAGTCCCATTTTCCTGAATTTTACTGATCCAACGAAACAGAGACAGAAAATATAAACCTTCTTCAGAAGTACCTATTTGATAGCTGAGCACAGGAAAAATCCTACTTTTGAAATTTGCCCCTTAGTGCAGATTATAGGAGGGAAGTATTTCAAAATATATTCTCCACCCTTACAAAATGGGACACATGAAAAGATTTCAAGTTAGGCACACTAGAAATGATAGAAGTAATGATTTTGATCAAAATCAAGACTTTCGTCCCGGTATGTGACGTATTTGAACGGGGACGTACATTAAATACATGTTTCCCATTTCTGAAACAAATAAATGAAGTAATCACTATCCAAGGTACTGTCGCGCCGAAGGCGCGACTATAGCGAGTTTATTTGCCCGAATTGCAAAGAAACTCGCTAGATAAGGATATGGACGACATGAGACTGACCTGCAGATGGATTATAGATTCGTGGAGGAAAATATGGAGGAAGAGATACTGTCGGAAGCGGATAAATCTTTTGAAAGGCCCAGTACGATGGTTGGAGTCCTCAGCGCCCTGTCCACCATTTTGCGTTTTGGCACTTGCGAAAATCTGAGTAGAGCTGTTGAAGTGATCTGCAAGACCATGGAACTTCATGCTGGTAACAAGGAAATTCTCATAGTTGGAAGGTGAGTTAATTCACGGATTTATCTTGTCGCTAGAGGTGACCAGCCAGTCAACCGACTTGGTTTTAGTGATGATTGTAAGGATTCAAGATTCAAGATTCAATTGATATCAAGAGGCGATTTCACCCATTTCGATCTCACATGTCGAGGTCGAGCGTTCCTTAATTTCAGGGTAGGCCTAACTCTCTTAAAGCTATATATTTTTATATATACAGTATATATATTTTTGACTATCTTATTTGCTTACTGTCCAGTACCTAACGTCAACATTGCCCCCAACATTTTGTCTTTTCCTGAAAGCATCCAGTTTCTTCTTAAAGATTGTCACAAAAGGGCAACCACTACTTCGTCATCTAGCGCATTCCATGCGTTCACCACTCTGCAAGTAAAGAATTCCTGTCTCGACCTGAGCGCACCTACGGTTTGCGCAACTTAAGTTGGTTACCACTGGTTCTATTGCTGCCATCAAACTGGAGAAACCTACCACACTCGACATTATCTATTCCTTTAATTATCTTGAAAGCCTGGATGAGATCGCCCCTCCTTAACCTTCTCTTGAGCAAGTACAGTCGCAGCACTTCTAAACGCTTCCGATACGGAAGTCGCCTAACCTCCTTCATCATTCTTGTGGTCCTCCTCTGTACTCACTCGAGCGACAACAATTCACCCACATTTGCAGGCCTCCAAAACGGGATGCGATATTCCAACTGGGACCTTACTAGTGCCGCATACAACGGAAGAATAACGCGGGAGATCCTACTTGCAACCGAACGACGAATGAATCCTAGCATCCTTTTACATTTGGCCACTGTCTCTGTCGCGTGCGAGGAAATCATGCAATCTTCGTCAACAGAAACTCCTAGATTTTTCTCTCCGTTTGCCTCTACTAATTTATCCTCGCCGAAAGCGTCGAGAGACCTACCGTTACTTCGACCGACGTGGAGAACTTCACATTTACGGTGGATTTTTGAACCGAGCTCTGAAATAATCTTGCTTTATTGGATAATACAGTACAAAAAGTTATGTTTTCAGCGACGAATACCGTTGTGGGCTAAGATTGCCGTGTTAGCCTCAACCGGCCTCGAATGCCAATTTCTAACTCGATCCGGAGAGGGGGAACGGCAGGTCGGTCGAGAGAGGAAGCGACCAACGACATCCGAAACGGGTCACAACGGAAGGTCATATCGGTCGCGAAATCATTCGTCTCTGAATAAATGAGTTCGGCGTCGATAAGCAAACGGAGAGAGATTCAGGGATCATTTACTATAGTTGAGGAAATCAAGTTCTCCCAAGCGTAAGGAACAGCCGCTTATGATTTAAAATTGTTGTGCGAATCCTCCCCCTTTGTTTTTAAATTTTGGATGGCGCACTCCGTAAAAAAATCATTCCGACTAAGGCATCGGAAATAATTCCGTCTAATGCTTATAATAGGGGATTCCGATTTATAGCATGAACCACGTTTCCTATTTTATTACGTAAGCATGCTGTTCCGGAAACATCTCGGGATCCATCCCTCCGACTAAAGAGAGTAAAGGTCGGAGCTTTCCTCTCATTTTCCGGAAAATTCTAATCAATGTTGGAATCGGGTTTCCGGTGACGGAAGTAAATTTTCGTATCATTCCGGTGTTCCTTAATTGCCTTCATTATTGAAGCACGGCTCCTTTCCATTCGAAATACTCCATGGTAAATGGGATGCCATTTCATTACGCGATCTCCACTTATCAATCGTGAGTATTTGGTGCATCCCTGTCACGGAGAAGCTGTAATTTCTATTACCTAACGAGATTATTCGGTACCTCCTATTAAGCACTTTCGGCAAAGATCGCGACCCATTCTCGCCCCTCTCTCTTCTGAAAGAGAGAGTGTTAGAGAAGAACGACCGAGTCGTTGACTTTGATTGGTTAGTCTTAAGTGATGTCGGTGAAGCAGGGCATCTATATTTTCAGAGCAGTTCCTCTCCCAACGGAAAGAAGGGGCTGGGATACTCTTTATTCATTCTTCATTTCCCCGGTATCTGAGAGGGAAATATTCATAAAAACATATTCTTGAAAATGATACCGTGCGTTTTCCCTAGCATCATGATGTAATAATTAAGCGGATATCGAATGCTACTGGGAGTAATCTAGCATTCGGAATGTAAACTAAAGGCGTTGCCTGGCTTCTCAAAGAAGTCGATACGGAAATGATCGGGAAGATTTTTCCGAGAATATTCGGAACAGGCATTTCCGACGAGAATGAGGGAAAGGATCGTTCGCCTGAACTTCGGAATCCGAATGTAGATCCCTCAGTCGTAATATTTTGGGGAGAAGAAGGGGGAAATTCCGCAAATAGAACGACCTCGGATTTCGGAGGACATGCAGGATAAATTTTTCGTCCCTTAGAGGGAATGTGGCTTTGCGTGCTCTTAGTCGGAAATTTTTACGATTGAGACTCGGAAATTTCCTAAATATATTTTCAATGCACGGTCTCTCAGAATAGAGAAGAAAAAACTTGATTCATTCCAAGTTAACTTTTAAAATCACTCGCTTAACGCCAACAACCCTGTGAAGAAAAGATACTAATACCTCTCGCCGAGACTTTTATTATAAACGACCGAAATAAATTCCCAACAGAAGGGTTTCAGACGCCGTGCCGTCAGTAGCACTGGCATTGCTTAACTCTGACAATGGCGGGTAAAAACAAGCAGGTGTTGTCCACCTCCACGCAATCCCCACCGCGCCGGCCCTGACTCCGGCAGTGATCGTGACAGCTCTGCCAGAAGACGCCGGACGCCGCGGTCGTCCATCCCGTGCAGCGGTTCAAGTCGTCGATGCACCCGCATTCGGTTCTCTGCATCATTATCGCGGTTGTGAGGAGCACGACGAGGAGGAAAGTCTTGCCGGGACTTGTCATTGTGTTTTCTTTTTGGCTCAGCTGGGGGGAAAGACAACTGAAATAAGAAAGATCCGATCGTTAAATTATATAAATTTAATTTCAAGGTACTACAACTGCCACCGTTTGACGAATTCCGAAGCCAGATAAATACTGCCTTCCGAAGGTCTCGCAACGCTTTCTAGTGATCAAAGTTCTCAACACTTATCGGATCATTTGCGGAGATGAGAATGTATTCTCGGAGAGTTTACTCTCTTATCGATATGCAAAGCGCCCAATTTCATTAGAATTGGTGCAGCCATTCCCACAAAAATTCGTCTCAAAATCAATCTTGTTTGCTTGAAATTCGGCGCGAAACGTGACCCCGTTCCCGCTTCCAAATTTGGAAAGTCTGGATTGCTTCATAAATAATAAGTCTTCTCCAATGTACCCCTGAAAAAATTATCGAACGAAACATTCCTTAAGTTTACGATGGCCGCTGCTTTGGATGAATGAGGAAGGTTAATATAGTACATAATGCTCGCAATTCTCAACAGAAAGGTATTTCAATCTTACAAATGACACAATAGCAATGTATGGAATAAATTGGCGGGTGAAATGCAACATCTGAGAATCGGCAGTGGCAGATGCTTTTCCCTTAACTCTTTCAATGCTCAGTTTTTGTAGCTCTATTGGGCAACCCGACAAGTATACTCTTCCGTAGGACGGAAAGGGGTAAGATGCGTCGCCGTAAGAGAGAACACTTTTTTTCTTCAAATATATTCAGAAGAAAAATCAGCTCAGAGTAAGACGCACAATTTGAAAATTCTGGTAGTTTGTGAATCGCTTCCATTTAGTGAACTGCCTTTTCCTGACTAAAGCACAGTATAAACCAAATATCTGTAATCAATGGGGAATGTTGAAGGTGCTCTATTTGGTCGCCATTCCTTATGGTTCGTTGTTCCAACCGGCGTAACCACTCGTCCTTTGTCACTTTCATATCACTGCCAATATAAATAAAACAAATTTCTAAGAATAATAAAATAATAATTGTAATATCTATAATCAAATATACCATTGATTCCAGACATTTGACTCATACTGTATGACTGAGTGCACTAAACCAAAAAATGTCACTACCTGGGAACCGAATGATTTATTCATATGCTGGGAATGGAATATGTCCTGTCAGCACTGATCACTATCGTGTTCTTTTGACATTTGCACTACAGAAGACTGCTCACTCATCCTCTCATGGAATGGCGCAGCGTCCTGACAGCAGCATGCGGAGTGGAGTCCCATTCGGCAGAGAAATATCTAAGGAATACCTCCAGGTTAATATTTACGCCGACCATACAGTGCATGTGAAGTAAATGTATGAGGAAAAACTGCTCACCTACGTCAAATCTAACGTTATATAGATAATTAGAGCTGTCAAGATAGCAGTTTAAAAAAATCGATGCTTCGACCTGAACTATTGATAGTGCATCGATGCATCGAGGGGCTTGTGCGAAAGAATTCAATCTTTTCTCGCCGCGATCGGGTGGAGGTTTGACTTCCATCGTGTCTTGCCTCGATCAGAGCGCATACCTCTATCTGTCTTCCATATTCTCATGCTTGTGATCGGGGTGTGTGGGTGGGAGGGTGTGACCATCGCAGGGAGTATAATCCTACCATGTCTTCAATTATCGAAGATCGCATCCATTCTTCGATGGATGCATCAGGACAGCCTTAATTTTTTAAATATTACCGTTGGTAATCAGTTGACAAGCCCCCGTTTACGCCATTATTTATATTTTTCTTCGTTCTACACGATCCTCTTTGAGAATTGGCACAGACAGATAGAGAAATCTGCTAATGGTTCCATACCGGCTTTTGCCGAAACATCGGTCATCGGTATAACCATAGATTAAACAACGTCCATGTAAAGAAATTCACTTTTGGTTTCGGTTCAGGTATTGCGGTGAAACTCCCCAGGTCAAGTTTAAAAAAATGTAAGCCTGCATACTAAAGAGAAAGACAGGAATATGAAGGGGTATTAGCTAATTTACGTTTTGAAATCAAGGGAGTATAAGAATAGTTCACTTTTACAGGAAGCACTTGAAGACATCGAGCCGAAGATTGAATATAAAGAGAAAAAATATTATCTGTGCTTCTTCCGTCTCCTTTCCCACTTCCTGTCTCTGATCCTACAAGTATTTTTTTTCCCCTCCCCCTTCTCTTCTTTTATATAGTCAGTACCAGCATTTCCAGAATTTCATTGTGGCAGAAATTCTAAGCCCATGCGAGTCACGCTGCCTCCTCTTTACCGCCGGGACTGACTATATTATACTGTATTCGTCTCAATCCAATGTGAAAATTTCCCTTTAAAATCATTTTCCGATACATCGCGATATTCGAAAAAACAATCGATACCTCCAACCATGTTAGTGGTATCGATGCATCGACCTATCGTGACAGCCCTAGTTATAATAATACTGAGTTGGACTATGAGCCTGGCCAGACCTAGTAGAGTTCTTGGATTTATATGAGATACTTCAGGGAAAATTTTCCATTCGTACCTTTCGCTGATACAGAAACAGATGAGGGCTGGCGAACAAGAGGACAAAAAATGGAGGGTTGTTAGTAAGAAAATTCCTGTACTGGCAAGAGACACTGCGTAGGAGATGGGCGGGTTCAGGTCCATTCATGGTCAGATGCTGTCACAGCATTCAGATGTACTGTAATATCTCGACAGGGCGGAATGATTCTTCTCGAATGCGACGTAGTACAGGGTGTATCGACATTATGAACTCTTGTAATAACTGTATATCATTGAGTTAGGGGTTGAGACCAAAATACCAATGTTTTTGGCCACTTTTCACTTTTATATTTATATTTACCAGCTTCACGCTGGAAATAAATTTCTGTTACTATTTCTTCTGCGTCACCTTAATTCGCAATCTAAAATAATATCCACTGTGAATGGTTCGAGAACCGACTGAAACGTAGTCATACAAATTTTCATTTACTGGCTTCCCTTATGAGAAAATTTTGATTTATTTGTAATTGGTCCATTGCAAACATATCGATCTGTACACGGAAGATGATCACATCTCCAGTAGATAATATATATTTAGGTGCAAGTTTGGGCACAATCGACGAGCCCTGACGAGAGGGAAAAGCCGGGCGACCGACCGACTCGGTCAGTAGGTTTGATGAGAAGGATGAAGCTTATACGGTTAGATGAAGCTGAGGGATTCCCTCTAGTCCTTGAAAATAGAGGAGCAGGGTGCAGCCATCTCATAAAGATCACAAAGGAAAAAATAGGAGGAATTCTCGGAAGCTCTTCGCCGCAATGAACAAAAACAAATACATGTATTCATGAAGACTGCAGCGGAGTTTGCAGTTTCGGAGATAACATCAGGCAAGAGACGGCCGCACGGGAGGCCACCTCGCCGCAGGCCACAGGAGGCAACACTTCCTTCTTCCATTCCCTCTCTTTCTTCTCTGTCTTGCATCCATGCAGCAAAACAATCGCTGACCTGTCTCCTGAATTACCGTACAGCACGAATGAGTGCCTCGATTTTGTTTACGGACGGCCTTCGTTTTATCTCTCATGGTTGACACATTACTGGGGAAGTCCCCCCGAACATTCTCTTGAATTGGAGGCATTCAGTAAGTGATTTCCAAAGGATGGGTTGCTCTCAAGACTATCAATGGAACCTCCTGCTTCGATTAAAAAAAATCAGACTCTCATTATATACCAGACTCAGAAAGAAACTGTGCCTTCTTTTTGAAAAATGTCCATTCAAACTCAGCGAACTTTCCTTTGAGGGTTGAAGTCAGTCGTACATTGACATCATCAAAAGATTCATCGACACTGGTATCACGAACCAATCGATGATGCAAGGTACCTATTTCAAAGCTCATCACAATGGGCCGCTGTCAGCATCCTTTGTTCCTGAATGAGGGCCCCTCCACAAGTATTATCTTCCTTCGTGACGTCATAAATCGCAGCCCGCCATGACCACTCTCCTATATCCCGATGGTTTTCCACCTTTGGACAAGGTCATTTGATAATTTTTCTCACACACCAGGTATAGCATAATACAAAATATGCAATCGGAAGTTGCAGAGGTCTGCCCGGGAAGTAGAAAATAAAAACCATTTGTCGAAAATAACCGACATGGCTCTCAAAACGGTATGTTTCCCGTGCATGCTCCATTTTCGAAATTCCAGTCACCTTAAAACGTGATATTTACTGCACTTGTATCTAACAACCCTCCCAAGTTCAGATTTCCCATATTGAATTCATGCTGCATTGTTTCTCTCACCAATCCTCTCAAAAGGGATCGGACAATATTGGGTCTGATGAGATCCTTGCGTAACTCTGCTTAATTGTTCTCATCCGGTTAATTTTTCCGCATTCGCAACACCTGCTGCCGGATATAGAGGACGAAACCACTCTCATGATCAAGTGTGCAAAGGATGGATGTCCATTATGAAATTTCATGAAAAATCTTTAATTGTTTCTGCTATTCCGTGAATTCACCAGTTAAAACTCTGCATCATGTTGGTTTTCCTAAGTGATGTGATTAGACAGTAATATGGTGATGCAATTGGAAACTTGCACTTGGCCGCAGACGCTTCGTGGATGATGCAGTGGTTGAAAATGTACTACGTCAATGGTTTCGACATCAATCCAAGTCTTCTTACGCAGCGGGTTTCCAGGACTTGTTGAGAAATACATGTTACTTCCACAGTTTAATATGTGTTTATTTTGTGCGTGGATTAATTTGCAACTTTCTTACTGACTAATCCTCGAACATATCTGAAAGAATGACTGTCCCCAGCGTGCAAAAGATATAGCCAAAAAGATTCCGGTTCACGGATCTCGACTATTCGAACCGCCGCGACTTTGTGCTTCTCTCTGCCGGGTCGCAGATGAATCGCGGCGGACACGACGGTCAGACGGAGAGCCTGCTGGAGGCAAAAGTCATCGATCAACTGGACAGACGGCGGAGAAGAGCGTATTTAATTCGACGAACCGGTTTTAGGCCAGGTGGGATTATTCTAAACAGCTACAACTTTCATGATAAAATGAAGTTAGACGTGATTCAATGAATTGAGTGGCTTTTAAATATTTCGAAATTGTTATTCCTAATTAAAGTATGCAACTGACATCCGCAAAAAAATTCAATATAGAGACTTTGGAAATTGTCTCCCTTGTATATTATCTTGGTCGGAACTTAGGGGGAATCTTATTTAGACTTTGAGTCCCTCATCGAGTTTCCAGTCCAAAAACTTATCAAGTGTCCGAATATGATCCTCAGAATGTTAGTAGTTGGAGTTTCTTTCTCTGTGGTGACTATGCCTACCTTGTAATCCATTTTCTAACTTTTTTTTTGTTTTGGAGTCTGATCGACGGATAAAATATTTGACGCAATAATTTCTGCAAGCCAATCACCGCTGGTTCTGGGCAGATGCAATGTAATGGCCAAGATCAGAAACCATCTTGTCGGTCAAGACGAGGTATCTCATGGCCAAACACCTCAGCATTTTGTGTATTTCTCACCAATCAATCATGAATCTTTCCACAGTGTTGATTTTGTTTTGAACTCCGTGCGACCACCTGCCCCGTCCCACGGGAAGGTTCTCACGAGAAATATATATTTCGTAATTCCCATGTCGCATGTGAATTTTCCCATCAGTAGAATAAAAACATTGCGGTTACGTGAGTTTGACTTATTTCCAGCCTCGTCTTGTCTCTTGTGGAGTCGAAACGTGGAAGACGATGGAATTCTGGATATTCCTCCTCCTTACTTGTATATTTTTATCCTTGATCCCCTGGACGCGGGGGCAGGAGGCGTACCCATGCCCCCCGAGCGAGGATATTTCCCCCTGCACCTGCGAGTACGACGCTCCCTCTTTCATTTCCGTCGACTGTACCTTTGCGAACACGAGTCAAATCATCTCCGCCTTCAATGGGGTCGCTTGGTTCCCGAACCTCACGTGAGTGTGGAGTTCTCCTTCGAGAGCTATTCCTTCATCCTCGATGGAAAAAGTTCGCTTCAGCTTTAACCAACTCCAGAAACTAGGAAAAAAAGTATTGCTTACGTTATGGAACATTTCCGTACAGTGTAATCTTCGGTTAGATGGGATCAGAACCATACCCATCGTTTATCATTGAATCCAAATATAAAGCAGGTTTCATGCTTCTCTTTTTCTCCTCACAGGAACTTCTACGTGTGGTATAACGACTTGGTGACAGAGCTCCCAGAAGGAGTCTTCGGAGCCGTCTCCTTCGAGAGAATACAACTGAACGGCGTCCGAAACCTGGATTCCGTCCACCCGTCGGTCATACTCGAATCGAAAGACAGACTCCAACAGCTTCTCATCTGCGATTGCCTCCTGGATCACTTCCAATGGGACATCCTCTCCCAGTTGACGGAGCTCAAGTTTTTCGGTCTGTGCGGCTCCGACGTGACGGACCTGCCAGTCTTCGACAGTCTAATCCTCGAGGGTCTCCACCTTCCGAGCAATCGCATTTCCACGTTCGAAGCTGGATGGTCCACCCCCAACATCAAGTATCTGGACATGGGTGCGTAAAATCGTTCAGGATACGATAGCTAGCAGTTTAAAGTCCTCCTAGTCCCTCTTTCCTTATATACTTGTTTGCACCAGCAATTTCTCATAGCCCATGATGAAGGGGTCTTACATTTGAAATTTACTCTGGTCCCTATTTGGGGAATGTGACAGTGCGCATTTCTTGGTAATAAGGCGGTATAATTACATTCATGTTTGCTACGCTTTCACATTTGCAAAGTGCTTGCGAAAAGTAGGAAAATTCTCATAAAGCATTTTAAAAGTAGTGCGCCATATCCACGGATTGAATGATGTCTCAATGAACCGTGGAAGGTGGAAAGAACAAATGGAAGCACGATTGTGAAATGCGTTTCTCCCTTTCCATGCAGATGGAAACCCCATCTCCATGTTCCCCACCGGCCTTTTGGACGGCTTCGAGAAGTTGGAGCAATTCTCGTGCGACGACTGCGACCTGGGACCGACTCTTCACTCGGGGTCATTCCAGTTCCGCAGCGAGGCCTTGCAAACTCTCAGCCTCACGTCCAATGGCATCACGACCGTGGAGCCTGGAGCCATCACAGGTATACTGACAGTTTTCCAATTGAAACTCAAACCAGGCAACAAAATTCTCTCGCAAAAAATCCTACAGGACTCAATAAGATTTTTGATACATAAAATATCATAGAATTCTTATGGAAAACCTATAAGGTTCTCATGAGATCCTATGGGATTCTTATAGGATTCAATAAGATTCCGATAGACGTCATATAATAATCCTTGGGCGTATTATGTTTCAAAAAGCTTTATTATCCTTTAGGATTTTTTCTCATGTGTATCCAAGACCGCTCCTTGAATTATGCCACAAATGAGAAACCTTGAGGGACATCAAATCGAATTATACGTTGCGCGTAAGTTCAAGTCGTTTTTAACAAACTCCAATTGCACCTGACACCAACTCTTCGAGGAGGCATTCAATATATCATGTGAAGTGCAAGGCAGTACAAAACTTTGTTTTGACTTAAAAAAAATATGGTTCATGTTGATTCCTGCATGATCATGAACCCTTATAAGGACCGAGTTTTTTTTAACCCTTTGGGAATATGGACGTACCTGTACGTTCAAGGTCTTCAAAGGGTTAACAATAGTGCGAAGTTTCAAAAGTAGACCCAACTGTTTAAGTCATTCACTCAGATATCTATATAGAATGTTTATATTTTATTAGAATTTATCTAGCTTCTCAGCGATTTGGAAACGTAAACTTCTACAACCTTCCTTCCAATGGGATTGTGATGAGCTATTTTGTTATCGCAACATTTTGAACTGGGCGCGGGAACTATTTCCCTCAGTTTCGTTTTAAAATTGATACTTTGTACATTGTTTATGTCAGTTCAGAGAGAGCCGCTCTTCCTTAAATAGATTGGATGCTCCTTTCGTTATCATGTGGTCGTCCTCTTCCTTTTCCATATGCGTCGTTCAAATTTTTCCTAAAAAATTTTCGAGAGTAACAATATCTGAAACTTCGACATTTTCCTTTATCTGAGATTCTTTGTCGCGTAACCAATTCGTAATAAAACAAGTTTAAATATATGTATATGTGTATGGTATCATTTATTTACTCATTATAGGCTTCACAGCCGACACATGGGTCGGTCTATTGAATAACGAGATCCGGGAACTGACCGAAGAGTCATTCCGCCCGATGCTGGAGGTCGCCTCGCTTGGGACAGGAGTCATCCAACTCGTCGGTCAGTTTCCTGCTTTTAAGGGAAGGTGCATAACGCAATCTACTATGAAATCGCAGTTGTAACACTGAGCTGCGAGGTAACGTACTCGAAGAGAAGAAGAAGCACTACTTGGAGCCTAGATTCTCATTGCATGAAGGAACTCCAGAAATTGGGCTCTGACATATTGTCCGATGGGAAATCTGCCATCGCAAAAACCGTTAAATTCGATTATTTTCAGAACGATTGGGTTGCATTCCGTGCATTTTTCCGTCTATGAAATGAAACGAGATTGACGCCATGTGGAGTGAGAATCCAGTTCCGGAACGGGACGCAGTACAGAGAATCGGTCGTCTAGGGAAGCTTTTGCGCCTCTTTGATGTATTTGTTGAACCGATGTCGAAGCTATGCCAACTTAGGTATTTTTATTTGACGACTAACATAATGTGTGTCTTCTTATTCACCCTCCTACAAGAAGTGATTCTTAATTTTTGTCCACTTTCTTGGGAAATGTTCATTCATTTTGCATCGTTCATCCCAAATGTGAAAGACGATCATTAAACTTTGACACTGTTTAATTTTAATTTTCATGAAAACAAAAGTTGCACTCGATGCTTTCGCCATACCTTCAACGCACATGTTTTTTACGGCTAACACATTCCTGAATCCTCATCATTCACCTATGAACGTATTGCCAACGATCAGGCTGAGGTGTGAATTGACACCTTCTAAGTTCCTAAGTTCTGTATGTCCAAAACAATCCCTTTAAGAAAGCCGATATTTGAGAAGGTGAAATCGTAGTCCAAATACAATATCAGTACAGTAAAATCGCGCCAATGAAATAACTCGAATCAAGCTTAGCTGGTTAGCTTTTAGCTCATATCGACACCGGTCGGAAATGCCAATTTAAGCACTTCGGTGTTTGCATTGACTCTTATCTAAATAAGAGTGGTAGAGCTGAGAAGTTTACCTCACTCTGAATACGGGAAGCACCTTCATTAGTGGTCGACGAGGAAGCCGCAGTGTGAGGGTTATGAGAGGAAGCATATTGACTGAACCCAAACGCATCAGGTTTAGAGGATTTTCTGAAATATTGAAGTTAGTGTCAAAAATGTATTTTTCACCTCCTCCATTCTCCTTGTTTTGCAGGGAATCCTATCCAATGTGATTGCAGTATGGCCTGGCTGGTCCTCGATCCCGACCTCCTCGGAAGCGCTTTAGGATTTTGCGAGAATGGGACCTGGATTCAAAACTTGGATCCTAGTTCTTTCCAGGATTGTTTGACGAGATGATTTCCCGGTAGAGTCATTATTCTTCTGGAGAGATACAGTTCACGTACCTCAGACTCCTGTAGTTGAAATAAATATTTCACGTTCGCTTGTAATTGGTGTTTCACAAGTAGGGATGCTAGTCACTCATCCTTGAAGAGTTTCTCAGCTAAAGCCACCGGCGATTCGTCTCGAAGCTCCAATTGAAGGATCGATATTTTTCACTGCCATGAACGGCTCGATTTCCATGTTCAGGCGAACTGCGCGACATCCATACGGTAGATGAAACCGGAATAACAACCGTGCAGTGCAGTAGAATGATTCGGGCACTGAAAGAGCACTGGTCATAGTTGTGTGTGCCATGAGTGCGACTGAAACATGTCAGGATGGCGAGAAGTCCCGACACCCCTGGGACGCTAAGCATCCAGAGGCCCTGTGTGAGTTAATTAATGCTTTTCTTTCTTGTTGCAGGTGCTGAATCATGGTTTGCATCAGTCCATACACTCTCGAAGAACGTATCGTGGCTTGCACATGGATGCATGAACGTCCAAACACAGGGGATACTATAGCTTCCATCTGGCATACATCTAGTCAGAGACTTCAAAAAACGTTACCATTGAAGTACGCGCATTTGCGGTAGGAAAGAAGACGCTGCATCATTGGTTGCATCAAGGACTTACCTCACACTGATAGAAGACAGACGGGATGTGTCCGCTGCCATTGAAGAATCGATAGACCGCTCTCCCTTTAAATCGACCAGGAGGAAATCCGCAGAGCCAAATTGTGTTACTGAACTGACTGATCATGACAGGGACAACAGGAGAGAATGTTGTGAGCAAATGCTCAAAACATTCGTAAGACTTCCCTCCAGAGAGGAATATAGGAATGTGAAAACCAAATTTCAAAGGTTTTACCTTCCCTCAACTTCAACCTCACCCCCTCTCCCACCTTCTCTACGGAAATCACTAACGTTAGTCCTAGGCTTAACCGACGGACTATCATTGGGTCAGGCCTTGGCCTACCTTTTTTCTTTCAAAGGAAACTCAATCCTCGCCCTACGGACCAATTAGGCATATGAGGATTAATCCCTGGTCTTCGAGACGCATCGTTGAAGACGTGTAACATTAGGCCAATCCCAGGCTTATTCAGTCTCTCAGCATATTCAACAGAGAACTTATAACATTAGGCCAAATGTAGGTCTTTCACATGTTTCACGAGCCATTTTGGTGCGGTCGGGGAACATTGGGCCTATCCAGAGTTCCTCGAATCGTCTCGACTCGATCTGAGAAGGTTCATTCAGAAAGCATGAAATGGAAGCTGGCCCCGTCATGTGACTTTAGGGATGTCCGAATGAGGTATTTTCGTATTCCACCAAATCGAACCGTCACAGCAAAACATCGCTTCAATTGCAGCTCATCCCATGAATTCAGCACATTAATGTCTCCTACATTAAAAAGAGGAGATCCAGACAACGATACTAAGGCCGATCTGTCAGGGATCAGGGATCTGGGATGACTTAGGCACGATATCCGACAACACTGAAAGACGGGACTGGACCCATCGCTCTCAGTCTAAATTACCGGCCTCTAATTTCATTTTTCATGGCAAAATGGTATTTTGAAACAAAAAAGGAGGCTTTTTGTCACCTCCAGGCCCATATCTTTTGTTTGGTTGGTCTCTTTCTTCCAAGAACTTCTTAGGACCGGATACCCGGGGCGGGGGGGGGGGGGGGAAGGAGAAAAAAGTACCGGTTTGACAGTTCGTGGGGACTTCTATAGTGAAGTCTTTTTCGTCGGTGTAAATGATTCTTTTCACGCACTCTATTCTGTAACGCCGACAAAGCAACCGATACACCAAATTTTCAGTCTGCTGATTGCATCGTGATTCACACTGGGAATGATAATTCTTTTGAAGGTGTATTTTTCTTGGCTCTTCAGAATTCGCCGAATCGACTTATGATTAACTCCAATGTCCCTGGCAATATCTTTCTGGGCGTTGTGCGTTCTTGGGTGCCCTTCTTGAAAGACTATGGTTTCCTCCAAATAGGCACAGTTTTCCTCAGTTTGGGCTGATGTTGATCTACCGCTCCCTCTTTTCCTCTCCGAGGAACCGGTATTCCTCAGCTCTTGAATCAGCTTGTTAACGGTGAATTTCCTCCATATTTTTCGCGGGAATTCTTTCGCGATTCTAGCTGAACCCCTTTCCTTCTCACAAATACCAGTAGGTAATAACTGTTGTCTTCCCTCGTCACCGATAAACCACGGTGAACAGACGAAATTGGTGCATATAACTGTCATGAGTCCTCTTCCACCTGTTGCTATCCCGTGCAAATAAAAGTTCGAGTTGCTTCAGTAAATTCGTTCATTTGAGAACATTGCCGGAGACACATGTATGATACTTTCAAGAAGTCTACAAGCTAAATTGATGCCGTTAGAAAAAAACAATGGTATATGCCCACCCCTAATAAATGCCGAAGGCTTTCAAAGAGAGGCACGTTTTATACTCACCCTTTATTGAAAAGAAGACTCCAGATATTCTTTATTAAGATTTTGGTTACGATGATTAAATAATTGCTTGATTACGTTTTGCAATTACAATTAAAGACAACCTGTAAGTAATGGTCACAGTAACGTTAACTACCAAAGTGTTTATTTTGTCACGAACATGGCCGTATCGTACATATTTGAAGTTCCAGAGTAAGAAAACAGCATTGCGAAGAAATCCGACTTAAAACCAGTCGCGCATTTTGAAATATCAGGACGAAATGGAGGTGAAAGTCCTGGTACCTAGGTCAATTACGAATGCTGCATCATTCCATTACGATTGAGATTGTATAAAAAAAAACCTATATGATTACTGTTGCAGATAAATAGACAAATAAATTCTGATTATGGTGACATAAAAAATTACTCTGACAGTGAGTTATTGCAATCTAATCGCGATTACTGTCGACATCCATTCATCCCTGTCTTATTGGTACCTTTAGAACTCCTACTAGCTGCGACTCCATGTCTTCATGGTTTATTCAGGTAATTCTCGGGCGCACAATATATGATGCACGTGCAATATATACACAGGGACGCGATGCAAATTTGCGCGCATCGGTGCGTATTTAATAGTTGAAATACTGGATGTTTTTTTTCATTGACACATTTTACTCTGGTTTGTCCGAACTTCCTGGGTAGTTCTTTCATATGTTACACGACCGTTTGCAATTCATCTTTCATCCATGTGGCGAACGAGAAGGGGAAGAACGAGAAAATTCCTATGTTCGGTTACAAGTGGAAGGGGAATGCTGGTAATACTGCCTAATTTAGTAAAATTGACGTGGTCTCACCTATGAACTTTGGTGAAAACCCCATCTTGTCCAGGGCGCCTCATGGAGCACGTCTCTCCCTTATCCTGGAAAAAGTGACTCACGATCCCTTCCACCGTCCAATCACTGTCAAATGAGGCATTGTGGAGGAAAACCAAAGGACTCCCGGAGTCTCCCGAACACACTGTTTGATAATCTGTAATTGTAACATCCATCATCGTTGATATTCCTTTCCTTCATCATGAAAATAAATTAGTAGAGGACTTTCAGTGGCAATTCATACAGAAATAACCCCTAATCAGGGAAGTCCAGGAACCATTCTTAGCATCACCTCATTACCGTAGTATTTTATCGTTTACTTTACAGTATCACCGTATTATTTCATGTGCAAGTTGCATCCTTAGAGGTGTAGATGTCAAAGGATATGTTGTGGGACGTACAATTCTCCTGCTCGCACCCACTTCACCAGCTTTAATATGTGGGCTTCCTTGCCTTTCTCCTT